CCAGTGTCAGGCTCTTGTTGCACAATATGACGCATGGGCATACTCATGATCAAATTGAGAACTCTCGGCGAAAGACTATCGCCTTGCGGGATGCTACTACGCACACCTTGGATTCGGGGGCACACTTCTTTGTTCCACGAAAGGATACGCAATTGACCTTCCCAAATTTTTTGAATAGCAGCCGCCAATTTTCGGGGAAAACCTTTCCAAACTAAAGTATCACAAGCCAAGCTCGGGCGCACATGGTCAAAGCACTTGGAGAGATCTAATGATCCCACATAGGCTCCTTTGGCAAATCCCTCAGCAAGTTCACAAAAGCTACCTTGACTGTCTCGATTGCGCCTACCTCCAGCCTGGGTAGTCAACAAATGCGATTCCAACCAACGTCTTTCGATGTCCCCATCTAAGCGGGCACTCACATAAATTCTCCACCAACAAGACACGAGGCTTATTGGTCGAAGTTTGCTGGTCGGGGTGGCGCTGTCAGAGAGCCTTTGACCGTTTCCTTTGGGGAGCATCACCTGGGTCATGAAGTGCCAGCACTTTGGAAAACATCCCAGCTGCTCCCAGGCTTGAAACACAAATTCCAGGTCAGCCCACATGTTGTAAGGCCAAGCTGCCATTTCGCTGCCAGTCCAGCCGTCAGGGCCCCCGGCTCGGTGTCTTTGTCTAGCAGCCGAGGCACTAAGAGCCTGCGCAGAAACAGGGCTCCAATTTTCTTCGACTTCAGGGGCCCCGCCATATTCACGAAGATATTGCTGCGGAGTCCAAGCATCGCTATTGTCACGGTTCCAAACTCTCTGCCAAAAGGATTCGATTTTGACCAAGGCACCAGAGCTGTCCATGGGTCGTCAGGATCGACTTCGTCGTCATACAAGGTAACAGTGGGCGCCGATTCGGAGGACCGCACCCATCGAAAGACCTGAGCGTTATCTTGCTGCAAGCGAACCTTCCAATTGCTAAGTCTGCGCTGCCGGCTCGCATCGGTTTGACGCTGAACCTCAGTTTCGGCATCCTTGGCAGTCATTCCTGCTTGGTACAGAGGGCATCTGCGGATGCGCTTCCAAAGCTTTTGAAGATCCTTAGAATTCTCAACAGCGTTGTCATGATGCTGTCTTCTCTCGGCCTCACTGAGCCTTCCCCACAACCGCATCCAGGTGCGAAGCTGATTTGAGGCATTCGGAGCTGGTGGATGACCAAAGGGACGTGACGAAAAGTGGGGATGGACCCCTTGGCCCGTTTAGCTTTTCTGTAGGGCCGCATAGGCAACTCATGTTCCTGAGCCCACTGAGCCTGTTTCTGAAGAAACGTTTCGAGTAACAAATTCAGGTGGTCCCAAATTCGATCACTTTTATGCTGTTTGACCGCTTCTGACATGTTGTCGGCTTCGCGGATTTCTTGTTCAGCTTTCACTTTAATTTCCTGCCAAACTTGTCTATTTTGTTGCCAGGCATCCGCCAGGCGTTCTGTCCAATCGATACCTCGGTCGGTATCTTGAGGCAAATACACGTTTGCTGGAACCATCACAACCTTAGTAAGAGCCCCATCTGCACCTTCAGCTTTGACGTCAAAGTAAAAAGCTTTGTGATCACTGTAACGTTCGGGGCACATCTTCAAAGTGGAGTCCAAGATAATACCGTTGCAAATCGCAAAATCGATGACCCGTTGGCTTTCCCATCTACTGCTAACCCCAGGAGGTGGCAAACAAGAGCTGTAACCTGAAGAGGTAAGGCCAAAGGCCAAAGGCGATTCCTCAGGGGTGTCATTGAAATCACCCACAAGAGTCCAAACATTCGGGGACCATGAGTGACACAGCTGGAAAGCTTCCGTCTTGAAAGCTTCTCTTTCAGGATGATGGGCACAATACACGTTGCCCACCCACATGTGACCGACCTGAACGCCTAACAACTGCCCCCCAGAGGTATCCAGTTGGTGAGCAATGCGACTTTTCAGGTGTTTACCAACCATAGTTATCATTCCCCGGCAGCACTTGTTGGACAAAGCGAAGGTGACCCAACCTGATTTCCAAGCAGCAGCTGCCAAGACCTTAATTTCGACATCAGACATGTTGGCTTCCTGAAGACAAACCACATCGAATTCCTTAGGTTTCAGGTGGGGCAGGGCGCTCCACAAGTTTTCCTTACCTGCAATGTTGACGCTGCAAATCCTAAGTTTTGTCAAACGTCTGCGATGAGCTCGGGGTCCTGGATTTGGCTCAACGCCCTCAGCACACAAATCCCGTTGCCAATTTTTGGCCTTGGAGACTGGTTTCTGCTGCTGACCCGTATCAGCAGGCAGATTTTTGAACCAAGCTTTGCTGCCAGGGTTCGGAAGTTTTGCCTGCACCGGTTTTTGTTTGAGGCGTGGGTTAGCTCCCACACTGTTGGTGAGAGCATCCATATCTTTGACCTGCTGCTGACCCCAACCCCAAATTTTAACCAGAGGGCCCACAAACTGATCATGGGTGAGCCGCACTTTGCGCCAAATGTGAGTTTTGGGGTATTTTCTCTTGATGCACTTGTTACGAGTAAAACAATCGGTTTCGCCCTGCACTCGTTTGCAATGTCTGCAGGTGTATCTCAAAAATTGGTTTTTTAACAAACCAGAATCAGGAACGAAGCAAGACAGTTCATGACCTTGAGACTTGGCTTTTTGAATTCTTTCTTTACGCCACTCAACAGAATGCCAACCTGTTTTTTTCCGCGTTGCCACCCGGTAGTTGATGTCAACAGCAGCGGTGCCATTACGCAAAATGATGCGATTTTGTTCGGGGGTGAGGTCAGGAGCACAGCTTGCAAGGTGAGCATCTCTGCTTCTTTGCAACTGACTAGACGGAAGCCATGGCAACCCCAGCCCGCACCTGCTGCATGTCCAACCCCGCGCAGCCCATTTGACTTTGGTGGCTTTAACCAAAGGATACTGAGTTCTCCGATCAGCAATCAAATGTTTTTCATTTTTGTGACATCTTTCAATGTGCCTAGATTTCTTGGCGGCCCACGTACCAAGGCAAGCGGCCGAAAATGCGAAATCACACAAGTTACACTTCCAAGAATATCTCTCAAACAAGGCTTGTTCTTCCGCCGCATTCTTGGGGATCTGTTTGGTTCGTTTTTTTGCGATTTTCCGAGGAGAAGGTTCGTCTGGAGTTTCCAGTCTTTCGGCGTCCTCTTCTACTGTCAATGCCGTAGGGGCAAAATCAGGATCAGACACTTTTTCCATTGCAGCATGGACCGCACGAGTGACAGCACTGCAAGCAAGCAAACAACCTTGGAGCGTTCCGAGTGAATCCGGAGTCAAGTCTTGGTCCGGCACGCCCTGGCAAATTGACTGAAGCCAGGCATGGGCCTGACTCCAATGCGGGCACTGAACCTTGGTAATAGAGGTCGGGTCCCCAGACGCAACCTGAGTACTAGGTGCCCTGTCGTCCTTGGTGGTGTGACTTCGACTCATCTGTTTGAGTCGCTTCAAAGGACTCTTTTTTTACCTTTGGAGCGTTGCTTGGAAGCCTTGGTTTTACAAGGCGAGTCGAACATGTTCTGGCCAACAATGGTGTGAGCAGAAGGTGTTGGCATATCACTAAAATTATTCGTGGGTTTTCGAGAACTCCTAGCACTTTTACCATGCAACGAAATGGTGTGGACCGAAGGAGTGGCCATGCTTGACGAAGACTTGGCAGCGCCTTGAAGTTCATGTCTGGCAGGAAAAACCGTTTCTTTTAACCATGCATTGGGCACGGTCTCTTTTTGTGGAGGTTTGAGCCAAGTGTAGTGATCATCCTTCAAAAGGACAGCAATTGGCTGGGTTCCCTTAGCTGCTTTGGCCCATCCTTGGTCAAAGGTAGGAGCCAACGTGGTACGCCGCCACGGCGCCTTCTTGTTTTCCTTCTTCCAAATTACAATCACATGACCCGTTTTGATGGACAGGGCCCTCAGTGCGACCCCATCAATCCAGGTTCGAGGTCGACCCATAGCATCGAGCCAATCTTGAAACGAGGATTGTAATTGCAAAGTAGGATTCTCGTTAACGGTTTCAGGATCAGGAGCGAAAAAGGGAAGGAAGCTCTTTTCATGTTTGCGGCAGTGGGTCACAACCTGACTTCTGAGTTTGGCGCCAGCACGTTGGCATTGTTCTGGCGTCCTGACTTGGGTAGGATCTTTGTAGTAATCCAAGGCGCAGCCAATGGCCCTGAATCCGCAATCTCCGTTTCCCCCAAAATCAACTTCTTCAAAACCTTTGTTGTTGATAAGATCAGCAATTTCATCCCATTCCGGCTTGATCATTTCCGTGGTTTCTTTGAAGTCCAACTTTTTCGGCTTAACCCTAGCTGGGCTTCGGCTTCTGGGGCGTTCTTTCTCTTGGCCGTTGCCATCACCCTCAACGGCCTCTTCATCTTCTTCACTGTTTTCAGGTTCATCGATCTGTGTATCAAGAACTTCATGATCCACATGAGTTCGTTTCTGTGTTTCGAACCTGCGCTTTGGAGGAGTGGCAGGCTGCACATGTTGAGGCTTAGGAAACCGACCCTCCGCCTTAGTGACATGGATTTCTAAACTTTGGTCAACATCGTCCACATAATGCCAAGTGCAATTGGAATTGGTTGGATCATAAGGATCATCGGGAGGCTGAGCTTTCAAAATCCATTTGACCTGGCGACGGGAATTTCTCCAGGTGATGGGCACAACTTGTTCCCACCCTTGTTCTTCCATGAAAGTCGTGACATGCGTGGCGTCCCAACTTCTCGGGACACCGTCAATATGAATGTGGATATTCTTTTTGGGTATGCTATCAGTGGGAAGATAGAGAATGCCAATATCCGAACCTCCACCCATCCGAAATTTCAAGGATTGGCCACGAGCAATGGCCTCATTCATGCTTTCCCGGAGATAATTATCACAAGTCATGGAAGCCGCTTTGAGCAGCCATTTGACCTTTTCAGGACGGCGCCCAACCCCAGTAGTTGTGACAAAAACCGCCCGCTTTCCGCTTTGAGATTCGAGAGCAGTAGCCACCTTAGGGCTCACACGAAGGTGGCCGACAAGAGTATGGCACTTGCCTACTTTTTTCCATTGCCATGTTCCGCCGACAAGGGTTGACACGGGCGTCACTTGCCAGTTGGCCATTTCGGTCAAAATGGACTTCGCTTTGTCCCATTCCCCTTGTGGCAAAAAGGCCTCTCGATACTGAGCAGGAGCGCAGACCCGGATGGAGACTTTGGGATCAGGCTGATATTTCTGAAGATTGATAGTTTTGGGATCCCTAGGTTTGGGAGCCAAAGAAGCCAAACCAAGGCAAGCAAAAGTCATTTCTTCAAGTTTCATTCTATTTGGGCCACGTTTAACTGACACCTTCACATGCCGACCTTCAGCCAATGAAACTTTCCCATCAATCAAAACAGATAAAGGAGAAAGACATTCCATGGCTTTTCTCATGTCTTGGATTTCCAATAAATCATCCAGGCTTCGAACACACACCAAGTTGTACTCACTCTGTTTCCCGTCACCAACTTGTTGAATGTAAGCATTCTTATGCCCCAGTTTGATGGCCATTGACCATTCACAAGGGTTGACAGCACTGATAGGCGGACCGCGCGCAATCTGAGGTTGCGACTGTGGTCTGACCGTGGTTTTTCCCGACTGCTCAACCCCAAAGTTGTTTCTGAGGTTCGCGCGTTGGGCAGGACGTTTGGTTTGCTCACATTCCCAGAGAGTGTTTTGCAAGTGTTCAACCACCTCTTCGTCTTTGGTTTTTTGTTGTTGACAAGTATTCAAGAAAGTCAACAAGGTTTGAACCAAATTCTCATCAGAATGAGTTTGGGGGGCCTCGTAATTCCAATAACCATAGTCGTAATCATCGCTCGACCCCTTGTACCAATCCTGGGAAGACGCCGTAGAACTGGTTTTCTGTGTTTTCCGTGCTGGCGGGTGTTGTTTCTGCCATTGTGACAAAAATTCTCCCAGGGCACTGGCAAGGCTGTTGTTGTCTTGCTTTTCTTGTCTTTTTCTGCGCGTGACACGGGACCCCATAGGCATACCACCCCTGAGATTCCAAGCCCACTGAGGCAATCCGAAATGATTTTCTTTTCCACTGTGAGCATCGTCAGTTTCCTTGTTTATTTTGGCAGCCATGCACTGAGAGTGACTGTTCCATTTGTCCAAAAAACTTGTGACGGCATGCACAACCCTATTGCCAAGTTGGCCCCTTGGACCGGCTGGTTGTGCGCATTGCGAATCCATGGCGTTGGCAATCTGAGGGCTGGACGTTGCAGCACATTGAAACGCAACTTCAGGTGTTTTTGGCACCTGAATATTCCATCTGTTTTGGATCAAAAAGACGCACTTTCGGACCCGAGCATTGTCTTGACAGCCAATGCTTTTCAAAGGGGCCGCTCTGAAACAATTGCCCAGACCCCTAGCACCTCTAATTCCACAAATTCTCTGCGGACCAACCATCCTCGCTTTTTGGACCACAGTGTCACACAGGCACCGTTGGCATGCTTGTCGCCATGGACCTGTTCTTTTGAGTAGCTGAAACCAAGTGGGAACCACCACTTTACGCAGCTTAGGTCGAACAAGTCTTCTGGGGGGTTTAATGGTGACCGGATAGTACCGACAAACATACAACCGCAGTAACCAATGGCATAACTCTCCCAAAAAATTCAACCCAACACACATGAGCCACAGAGGCGACTGCAAAAGCCAGGCATCAATTCCTGCAAGAAACTGCTGCAGCCTCGAAATCAAAATCTCACGTGCTCCATCTATACGCAAGCGCAGCATCTCCCAGCGCCGCGGAGCAACAAGCAGCGGCACGGCGGAGTGACAGCGCACACGACGTCGACAGGCAGCCGACATGGCTTGCCCACTGGTGACGTCGAGGTGTTCTGGGGGGCCTTTGATATGCGTCTTTGTCATACCAGGAAGGCCGGTAGAGAAACTGATGCTTTTCCAAAGGCCCGAGGTCATTTCGAGATCAGGCGGTGCTTTCTGTCCACAAAGTTCAGTGGACGGATTCCATGGGGCTGAGATCGAAGCGAAATCAGCCCAGGTTTCCTGACAAGCAGAGGCAGGCAAAAGCAGACACAAGCAGCAGCACAGCCGCAGCCACGGCGCCCAGCCAACCCTGGTCATCCTTCTGTTGCTCACTACGAGCTTTTTTCTGAAGGATGTCACTTCTTCTTTTTTTTTGGGGCTTTCCAGCTCTTCTTTTTCTTTGTTTTTTTGATTTTGCTTTTTTTCTTTTTTTTTGATGTTTTTCTTCTTGATGCATTTTTGAATTCCTCTGTTCTTTCATACTCTGTGTCAGCGTGGCTAAAACCAGCTTCCAGTTGCATTCGGTGCAGCTCTTGCAGCTGTTCAGTCAACTGGATCTGCTGCTGCAAGCAAAGTTCCAAATTGTCTACTGCACCCAGGGCCTGCTGCAGCCCCACTGTCAGCCAGCTGCTGGTGGCTTGCAGCTTGTCTACCTCGTGGCAGAGTTGCTGAAGCCATTCCTCCATCCGTCGCTCCTTCTCTGTGCTCTCGCGCGTTTTCATTTGAAGCGCTTGCTGGTCTGCCTCGGACTCGCCGTCGCTATCCACGAACTCATCATCCAAATCGCTGCTGATGCCGAGCATCTGCAGAAGCGCCACCTCTGAATCATCCTCGGATTCAGTCATGAGCAAGTCTTGCTGCGCGGGTGCTCCATTCCAAACGACTTCCTCATCTGTTTCCTCAGCACTAGGCAGGGCACTGCGCGGCCACTGCATCCCACCCGGCATCGAGGTCTCCTTTGCAGCAGAGGTTTCTGGAGTTGGTGATGGTGGAAACCCAGTGGAGGACTCTGCCGCTTGCGATGAAAGCTCACAGCTTCAAAATCCTCGTCAGCGTATGCCATGGTCAGAAGTTCAGGTTGAAGAAAACAAAATATATAATTTGTATGTTTTTTGTCGAATTTGTTGTTATTTGTTTTGTCATTTCAGTTTTGTCTGTCATTTTGTTTGTCATTGTTTTGCCATTTGAGTTTTGGTCTGTCATTTTGCTTGTTATGTTTATGACATTTTTGTGTCATTTTGAGAAATTATAGTTTGCATTGTTTTTGTCTGTTTTTTGTCATGTTGTATCGAATGAAAATGACAAAAATAACAAACAATGGCAAATGTTGATGGGAAATCATCAAAAGTTGCAAAAACTTGGAAACATATCGAAAATTAGTCAAAAAATGACAAAAATGACAATGCTTTGAGAAAAATGCATTTTTTGCAACCTGCCAATGCAACGACCACAAGAACACGGCTTGAGCCAAAATGGCTACGGAAGCTTCGAAATCCAATTTTTGGCAATGTTTTAATTGCGTTATATAAAGAAATTTACTTGATTTTGAGATCGGAAAAAATAGTTTTTATTATTAAGGGTTTTAATTTAGTATTAGGGTTCCCTAATACTAAATACCACCCTAATACTAAAAACTACCTGCGGTGTTTATTATTAGGGGGGGACGTTTTGTATTAGGGAGAAGGGATTATTCCGTTTTCATACCAAGATTGTCATCAAATAGACTGTCACGCTGTCAAAATGTGCACGGCCGACCGCCGTACGTGGCCGAACAGAACAGTTGAAAAAAGACAAAATTGTTGGTTGACTTTTTGGGAAGAAGCCGTTAATTTCCAGCTATATCCATCTATATTGTGTATCATATATCCATTCCAGCTCGATATGACTGGGATAGTAGTCATAATCCAGCTACAATTCCTGGGACAAAGCAAAGCACCACAGTTTGGGATCGGCCCATGTTTTTTCCTTGGGGGGTGTGGCAGTTTCGACCTGCAAATGTTGGATTTTCCATGTCTATGTTCGTCTATAGCTAAGTCACGGCTGGCGTATTTGAATGGTTCAAAATTCACGACCTCCAATCGATGCTGGTGCTATCCCTAAAAGGTCGGAAAGTGTGACAGCCGTTGAACACCTATCAAGTTACAACCTGAAACCACCTCCAGAACCATCAAGGAACGTACAACAGACTGAGACAACTAGGGCCGCGGCTGTGCCGACACAGATCTGGCATGCTCGTGGCGGTGGTGGGGTAGTGCTTATGGGTATGGGTCAATACCTATAGATACATTTTAGTGGGATGAACATCCATTTACCAGCTATTTTGGGGTTCACTAGGTACCAGGGTTTTGACCCATCCCCATTTGAGTGGAGGCCAACGTAGTTGTACGGCACGGGGAGTTGACTTGGATTTTAAAAAACGCGCAGTTGCGCTAGCCGTCCATTATGGACAGCAGCAAGAAAATGTGCTACGCTGCCATTTCGTAGGGGTTATATAGGAATCGCTGGTGATGGTGGAATGATTGGAATGACCATATTCCATATACCATGTAACTTGATGTAACTTGACCATCACAAGCCAACATCAATCAGTTTACGTTCAAACATGGCCCCTTTAGAGTCACCTTCCAGGATTAGATGTCTCCCCCTCCTGAAACATCCTGATTTCTGTCTATGCAATGTCGGTGAATTCAACGGTTGGGTCCTACTGTTGATGGAAGAAATCCTGCACCACCTTGGATGGTTGAAACCCTATAAATAATGGGATAAACCACCTATCAACTGGTGTAGGATTTCTTCCATCCACAGTAGTTCTGAAAACATCAAGAGTTGATCTTGCCAAGGAATTCCAGTCTCGAGTGACAGAACTAAAATCCTCACCTGAAAGGCCCCTATCCTTTGTGAGGAACCCTAAGCGAAATCTCTACATCACAGACTTATAAAACTTTGCAAATCCCAAAGAGAAAATCAGTTTTGCTGCATTGCCCACTAAAAAAATGAAGCGGAAGACAACTCCAATTGGTTTCGCCCTCCATTTCCCACCTGGTCCACTGTCTCCAATGCCAGCGCACGGCGTTTCGCTTCCTGGCGAGTGGTTCCATTTAAAAGGTGATACTCAACAAAAATTCGACCAGCACGAGAAGTTGGATTACTAAAATGACGATGTTTACCTATATATAATGACAATTCTTCTTCTTTTTGGGGTGTACTGTATGATCTGTATGTATGAAACCATTGCCATGTTTTTGTTTGTACATGACAACACAGTTTGACGTCAAAACCTGACGCTATCACTAGCCACTGAGGCAATAGGATAAAACCAGAAAACAGACAAAGTTTTTCCGTGGTTACGGGATGTTACGGGTAGACATAGGTCAGCATTGGATCAAAGAATCACATTCATCAACTTTCTGGTGCTAAACGTAGGGTATGAGGGAATGATCCAAATTACCTCAGCGGGCCAGGGCTCGGCGGTGGTGAGTTTGCCACCGAGTCATAGCACGTTACTTTTTTGGCATGAATCGAACTGAAGAAATGATCCAATCTGGAAAACTGCTGAACTTCGCATCATTTATAGCAACATCGTGGTCAGGTTGCTATAACTTCACCCAGTCCTCTACCCATTCCCCTTGCAATTCTTGCTTGGTCGGGAGGTCAATCTTCCATCTTCCCGTTCCTGAAAAATACACAACAAGAGACATATGTCATGTTACTGTCGCTTCTTAGTTGGTTATCCATCAATGCATGGTTTTCGCATGTTTTCACAAGCAAATATCTGATAGTCAGCTGGATGCCAGGCGTCCCCATCGCCTTCTTTCCAGTGCGTTGGATCACCATGTACCGGAGCTGGCAAGAGCGGCTCGGTGGAAAAGATGGGCTGCTGCATGTTTCGCTGCCCTAACATCAGCAGTGCTTTCCGCATTGCTTTCTCCATAGAATGACCTCCACAACTTGCATGATAACTTGGGATTTTGGTGAAAACCCAAAAAAAGTCCTCTCTACTGTCGTTGGTTTCCTATGTTTCATAGTCATCTGCATGGTATCCCCGCAGATTCCCACAGTCGTCCGACCTGTTTGTCCATGGCCACCAGGCATTCCACGGCAGTGCCATTCACCGCCAAGACCGGCAGAGTCCTCTGTGGCCCCATGAACGACCCGGTCACCATGATCTGGCGGTTGATGGATGGTTCGCAGCTCTTTGGACAACAAAAAGTTCCATTTGTTGAAGAGAACGCAGTTGTCTCCGAAAAGTCATTTGAAAGTGCGACCCTTGAAATGATCATTTACCCTCCAAAAATCATCCATCTTTTGGGACTAAACCACCAAAACCCCTCAGCCTGGGGCGGGTCCTGCCCCTGACCAGGTCACGGATAAAACCAGAGATCTCCTGACACTAAGGCGCTGTCTGGGGAGGGGAAATACGTCAACTAAACTTCCTAAAACCATTCACCATTCACCGTTGATCCTTTTTTGGGCTGCTGGAGTATCTACTCTGACTTTTGACCCATTCATGGTCGATCCCTTTACTGAAGTATGCAGCAGTATCGTGTTTCATATCGCCCCAGGAACTGCGATACGGGGTGAACTGGCCAACGTTTAAAATAATGCGTCAAACCATGCAGTTAATATGTGTTTTTGAGTGTCCTGAACATATATTTCTGTTGATATTCATATCATTTCATATCACACTGTAACATCTATGTTTGTGTAATTTCATGTATGTTGACATCTGGACATATTGATACATCTAAAATACGGGTGTTACCATGAGTGCGCGGAAAATTATTGTATGAACTATGAACCCCATCTTTGATCATTTTAGTAGGGCCAACTGCAAGAATTCAAAAGGCATGGCAAGCTGTTGAGCCCATAGGACGGGTGCAAACCTCTTCAAATCCCCAAAGTTAGTGATTCTAATCGCAGATACCCCTTGGCTGGTTCTAAGTTACGCAGGATCAGAAACCAAAACAAACCTTCGAAAAATCGGGCTTTTCAAACTGCAAGGAGCCAACCGAACCAACCCCTGGCCTGACGATCCAAGGGATCTTCTGGCATCTCCAAAGCTTCGTCCTGGAGTTTCCCAGGGATGAAACCCAAAATACCAACATTTCACAACGAAAATGATGGAGGGGGGAAAATCCAAGGTGGTAGGTTGATGGTCGAGTCTGAAGGTCTGGTGAAGAAAATCCCATTCAACAGGTAGATGTTTTAAAAAAAAATGTTGAATAAACATTCATAACTCAGGTAGATGTATTTGTGAACATCTACCTGTTGAACATATGAAAATCCCATTCATAAATGTATTTTTGGCATTTCTTCAATTTATTTTTTCGAGCTGATACGTCCGTTTAACTCATCAAATGTTAGGCTCTTTTTGAACATATCCGGCTGATTCAGCTGATGCTTGATGTACATATAGACCCAAACTATCGCCTGCCCACAAAGAAACAAACTTGCCCAGAAGGCCCAAACTCACACTCAACCTGCAAGACGAAACTCACAAAATAGTTCCTAACCTTTCATTCAACCAATCGGGCTGAAACTGGCAAGATACCGGGGTTACTCTCCAAATCCCAGAAATCTTGGATCGTAATCACTTTTGGCAGTTTCAAATATGGGATTGTCTCAAAGTATGGCGGTACCCAAAATCTTGACGGTTTACCATATTTTTTCACATTCAAAAAAAAAAAAGGTATCGTTTTTGTTAACTACCAATATTGATGGGTAGTTAAACCAGTATGTTTCGTCATGTGTGATTGGTTCTCCCAAAATATATCTCAGTATATCCCCAGTTACATCCCCATTGTATGTATATTTATAATATAATTATATATATTATATACATACATCCCTATATGTGTTAAGTAAAATCACCATTCATTCCCATGTGTTGGATGGTTTTCCCATCAAAACACCCATCAAAGGCCAGAAAAAAAAAAAATATATTGCTCTCGATCAACAGTGTTTTTCATCATTTGGGCGTGTCTGAAAATGTGAGATACCTTGACGGATAGTCCCCATCCACTTGGTCCTCCAAAAATCCGTCGTGTAGCACCAGTCCCGGCATCACCGGGGGCAGCGGCGGCATCTGGCGTGGCGTCTCACAGTGGATGGGGATGGGAAATCTCCGGGGCTGATGGGGGAATCACGAAAAAAAAGTGGTATTTTAATTGGAGAAAATGCTGGTGTTATAAGGTACCGATTCCGATCAAATTGCTTAACCAACCAAAAATGGAGGAAGTATGAGGAATTGATTCAGCAACTCTGGAGCTCAATTTCTGGGGAACCAATAATTTGATGAACCAAGGGCAACCAGGTATGATTTTCACCACAAGAAATGGCATATCATTGTCATATCATCAGCAAAACCCTGATTTGACCAAAAAGCAGGGATTGTTTGCCCATGGAGAGACGGAGATTGAACACAAAAAATGCACAGATATGACTCATGATCACAGAATCTATGGGAATAAACAAGGTAAAACATATGACCATTCATGGATTACGACTTCAAGCAGGAAGTCTCCCATTTTTCCTAAAGGGTTGCCAAGGTGCCTGAGAGCCCCAAGTGCTTTCCACCGTAGTATCAGGTGTAGCAGTGGATTCTGCATGTTCATACCTGTGAGTTCCGGTGCTGGCGCAGTGGTTTGCTTTTTCCTGCAAAAAAACTTATAACCACTGTAGAACTCGAAAATGGAGGATGTGAACAAGTGTTCTAGTGAATTCTAGTGGATACGATCTTGTGATGGCTTTGCATCGAGGAATTTCCACTGTGCATTTCAATGGTTTCCACATGGAAATTTGCAGGGGATCCTACAACTATGGTCATCCATCCCATCTGAAATCCATGTCGGGTATTCTTCCACCTCTATGATGTCAGCACCGTGGTGACCATCCCTGAAGTTATGGGATATAGATACAACTCATATTTTTGATTGTTGATCATATGTCCCATGAAAATCCCCATGTTTTATTGGCTGAAACCGGCATGTAACATACGTCAAAACAACGGACCCCAGCAGATGACAGCCTCGCTTGGTCACGTTTTGAAACTATGCCAGCATCCATTTCGGGAAGGGTGCCAGTTGAGTTGGCCCGTTGGCCCCATGGATCCGATAAAACAACGTTCAAAATTCGAATGGTCACGTTTCACATGTTGATTTTCAGAAAGTCATAGAACAAATGTAACAAATGATCAAAAGACCCAAAAACGAACCCAAAATCCAGCTATCCCAACCTGTGCATGGAGATGGTCTCCTTGTCCTCCGGCTCCCTCATCAGCCTAACCAATAACCAGCTGAGCCCACCCTTGCAAACGAATCGGATACCTCAAATCAAAGATGGGAAACCCCCTTTTTTAATGAAATATTAAGGGGAAAAACATTTGTAAACTGGCACCCCAACAGTGGTTGATCAAAGTAACCAAAACCTGATCATTATTAAAAATATAATGGATTCAGGACTGGGTAAGAAAAAACCTGGTTCCAGAAACAATCAGTGTTCATGCATTGACCCATGTTCAGAACTTACCTCCGGGTTTTGCTCGAAAATACCGCTAGGGACTATGAATGATAAGATTAATACCAAAAAAACGAAATTAATATGGATTAATACAATGAAATACCATGAAATACCAATTCATGGGCATTCCTTATGGATTAATAATACAATGAAATACCATTTCTCCGCAAAAACACGGTCCATCTCTGGTCGCCGTCTCCACCTTTGCACCAAAGGCCGACAATCTGAACCTGACAGGATGTTGAAACCGCATTCTGAACGTTGTTTCAGGATGGTCCCCAAACGTCACACGAACGTTCTGAAGTTTTTTTTTGGAATCAAAAAGTACGTTTGCACGATTGGGAGTCACTGAAAAATTAGCAACAAAAATCATTTTTGTTGGCCAATGCCTATGTCAGTACCGAAACTCGAAGGTGCCTCCGCATTCTGTGATGCAGCTGGGCGACGACCCCATTCCCGGGGAAAAAAACGGATAGATGTTTAATTACGTAGTTCTGGGGGGAACCCAAGAATAAAACCCCTGTTTCCTTGAAGGTTCATTGTTTTTTGTTCAATGATAAAATGTACTGTTGGTTCATAATAACACGTTTCGGCAAAATTACGAATTCGTTCCATGTTTTTACCGTTTCGATCTAAAATTTTAGTGTTTTGTGCCCCAGATGATGTTGAAAATTCCAGGCAAATGTTCAGTGAACATTCTGGAAAAAAAATGTCTGTTTGTGGTCTACAATTTTGGCTGACAACATTGTAGTAGAATTACCACATGATTTCCAAAAACCTCAATTGACTCGTCAGTTTGACAACAGTCATTCGTTGGGTTTTGACTAATTAATCAATTAATCCGAATATGCAGGTGAACTGTACAAAATTTCACCCAAAAAAAATGTTGGGATGTCTATGTACCCAATTTTTCGGCACGGCCATTTGCGGCCAACCACCAACCAATGTTTGGTAGCATGTACAGGGAAAAAAAAAACTGGTTTTGCCCGCTTGAGAGAAAAAAGGCTGCAAAAAACGGAACAATTAATTTATTGCTGAAATCATCGCCGCCCTGCCTTCCATTAAAAATTGCATCATTGGGTTGGTTTCAACATTTTTGCGTTTGCATGTGTAAAAACGACGTATGTATATTCTATTTTCAAAAACGAACCTAGTGCCGACACCGGAAGTGACATATGGTTGACGTAAATTTCATGATTGTTCTTGGATTTATTGTTGAAAATTCCAGAGAGTAGAGGGTTCCCTCCAAAGAACGGCTACCAATTCACATGTTCAACATCATGTTCATCATCAACATCCTCATTCATCATCCTCGTCATCAACATTATCATCCGAAAATATCAAAATACCTACTGTATGTCTACAACTGTATATAGACGTATGTGAAAAAATGAACGCATTTCCAACCATGAATTGCAGTTGTATAAATACAGTTGTACACGTGAAGGTTTGAGACTTTGAAAGTTAACTAGAACAAGAACTATATAAATTTGAGGCCAAAGGGACCCGAACGAAAGCTAATTGGGCAAGGAAAAATATGTATTGAGAGAATATATGGCGCAACCTTGTGAGTGTCAATTCTTGACTTGAAATAAACTACCGTTCGATGTTGCTGAGACGCTAACAGCAGCGTATCATGATATTCTAGCTCGCATGCACCACAATCATTTTCCTCTTCCTGTCCGTGACATGTTACAGATATATCTATGTAAATATGTTTATAGTTAATGAATATATTTAAGTATCTCTATTATACAAATAACCTAATTTTAGAATCTGGTTGCTTAGGTGCATACATCCATCGAGCAAGAAATATTTGGGAATCTTAAGATGCGCATCTTCCATTCCTCGCCACGAGCAGGTCACCTTTTCATGCAGACCTCTTGAAGAAATGGGGTACAAAACTCCAAGTGGTTGTTCCCTCATTGCATTACACTACACTACACTACACCTACATTACATTACATTACGTTACATTACATTACATTACATCGGATCGAAATAGATTAATTACATTACATCAGCTTACGTTGCATTAGCATCATTAGGTTAGATTCCATTGCATTAGATTACATGAGGTTAGGTTACATTGCATTGCATTAGATTAAGTTGTATTACATTAGATTAGATTAGGTTAGAATGCATTACATTGCATTACATTCACACCACTCACGGTGAATATCATCTTGTATATGCATGCCGTGGGCATGCGAACGCGCGGTTACAGATGACACCCAGCAGGATGGACGCAGCGGGGTTTGATCCCGGGGAGGGAAGGGGGTTCACAATTCGAAAGGAAAATCATGCCGAACAAGTCGAACCCAAAAAAAATCGACATGAAAGATAACGGCAGCTGCGTCCAATCTGCCCCCAGTTGATTGCGAAAGCAAATCCAACTCCAGCTAGCAACCTAGTTTTCATGATGATTTTGTTTCATGTTTTCTAAAATGTTCAATGATTTCACTATGTTGGTAAAAAGAACAGATTTTCAAATATGATTGGTGGTATACTACTATATATCCTCCCAAAACCCTCCCAGTTTTAATATATATATATATATACGTAAACATATATCTCGACGATGCGGGTCGCAAAATTCCTCCGTCTGTTTTTCAACGATCCTCTGCACCCGCCAAAAATCTCACAACCCAAAATCAAAAATTATCGTCACGTGAAAAGCCTCGCAAATCAAAAATAAAAAATGCAGCACGACGTGAGATCACAGAAGCAGTTTATTAATAGTCGGTTTCCTTTTTCCTCTTTCATGTATTGTTTGTCCAAGGTTGGTGTTCCCAAGACCATTTGGAAACATGTTTTTAAATCCAATGATTTTTCCGGTGTGATTCTCCGAGCACGTTCCATATCCTTGGTTTTGGTGGGTGGGACACTTTGGTCTCCAACCCTGTTTGGTCCACGTGCTGGCCACCAAATACAAAAATCATTTCCACCACGGAAAAATAAAACCAAAATTTTCGCAACTGTTGGCACAGTTCACCGTGAGGATTGTAATTTTATACCCGATGTTTTGACAAGACCCTCGTTTTGGTTTTGTTTTGTTGTGCAATGTTGAGTTTAGTTTAACTTCCGAGTTACCCGGTTTCGCGCAAAAACAAGAAACCCTTTGACGGAAGAACCGGTCGCCCAAGAGAGAGGACGGAGCACAAACTCAAGGCCACGCGTGCCCACAGAGAACTGCGGTTGCTAGACAGCAAGGAGGACAGGATAGGATCCATAAAAACGGATACTTCAGCGGAAGCATCAACCATCCACTACTACAGAGGCCCGCGCATGCGAAGCCTGATTTCAGTTGACTTTCCAGCCCCAAAAATGGAACCTCAAAGCGCACATGTGGCATCAACTGTCTGGCAGTTCTCCTGCAGCACCACCCAGACAACATTCACCAACCCTTCGCGTGCTGTTATAATTCAATCACCCAATGTTATTGCACGATGTTGAAACGATGGCGGAGCATGAAAGCCTTTAATACTTCACCTTCCCACATCTTTTTCTAAGCATTTTTTTTCCGTCCGACGCCTTCGTGGCTTCCGCCAGGTCGTTCAACATGTTCAAGAGCATGTTGCAGTTGGAATTAATTGATTAATTAAGTCTCGCAAAGGCCGTTGCTGTAGTGGCCGCAAAAGTAAACTGGTAGAGGACCGATACATAGTCCTATGCACTGTCACGCTCATCCAGGAAACGAAACAAAACACCAAAAACCAAAGAAACAAAAACCAAACAAAAACAAAAAACACCAAACACAAAACAACACAAACACACAAAACCAGAAACAAACAACCAAAAACAACACACACCAATGAGCAGTGACGTGACAATACCAGTTTATGGGTGAAAAAACGATTAAAGCAAGAGGTGATAGCTTAGTATCATCTCGGTGCATGCATAATGACATCTTGTGTGCCATGATGACGCTGGCCCTCAACAAGAAACAAAAAACGCCACAAAAAACACCAGGGGCCAATTCAGAGGTGTGGGAAGCAACACAGCTCAATGCAGAAACCAGGGATCCCCCCAGCCAGGATCCCCGAGATCACAAAGAGCAGCCTTCACGGCATGACCTTCACCCTGACACTTTGAAGCAAACACCGACAACGCCGGGTCGCAACGAAAGTGGTGAGAAGAACTACCGCAGTGAAACTGGAGAGTGAAACATTGTCTAAAGTGAAAATTACAGCAAGACTACGGCACTCAGGGCACACTCAGAGTCCGCTCAGTAGCGCTTTTCCAATCATCATACTCGCAAGGGTAGTCCATGTGCATTGCCATGAATCTGAACGGCAATGTCAGCATCACAATTGCGGTTGCTGTAAGCACCACTGCGCTAGTGCTCTTGCAAGCAGTCTTCATGGTGTGGGAGATTGTGCTCGTCATCAGTGCGTGGTGATATCTGTGCATTGAGTTCTTCCGATAACGTGCTGGCTTCTTTGGCTGTATGATCAAGAAGCAGTATGGCTTTCTGCGCTTGGGACACTTCATAACTGGCAGATATTGTACAACTATCCAACACACAGCCAATCTGGCGGATTTTTTTTTTTCCTCCGGTTTGGCCGATTCGCACTAGGCTCGGTCCTTACAATTGCGTAAGCAGTGAAAAGCAGGAATGTACAAGGACACGTGTGGTCCAAAAACTTTGGCAAATCATCACGAAACCAACGACAAACAAAAAACAACAAAACCACAACAACCAAAAACGACCCGCAAATCCCCCAGCCAGATTTGCGTTTCGCCTCAAAGCAAAACAGCGAAGCAACAAAGAACGGGGCAGGGCCCAACAAAACAAAAAACACATTCAGATTTGCCTTAGATACAGTGACCTTAGCCACCGTATCATCCTCAAAAACATGCAAACTAATTATCCATTGCGGCAGTGCGTGGAATATAGTACATGATCGCCCAGAATGTCTCACCTGAGAACAGATAAGAGAATCCAGTGTTGCAGGCAGACTGATGTGTAGCACGACAGAGGCCGCTTGTATGGACGTCTTGTCAATATCAACTCCCGCATCGCTGCTGTTCATCCTGCATCGTTCAGCGTACGCAAGTAAGTCTGTTCCAGTCAATATACACCGCCGCAAGGAATTGTGATCTATTGCCCCCCCTAGATGGGGAGGAGAACTGACGGCCTGTAAGACATGCCAGATGGTGTGAGTCTCACAGGAACATCATATAGTAATGGCCCAAGACCCTAATGGGCAGTGGGTAAAAAGGTGGCTGAAAAAGCCTAAATGTCACTATACGGCCATTGCAGATAGACGAAGCTTCTGACCATAGCATGGGCTCGTGAGCACAACCAGTATGCTACTGCCGAAATGTAAGCAAAAGTTGCATTCGCATTGCAGTCGAAATCGTCCCCCTAAGCTATGAAGGTTGAAATGGTTCGCTGCGCCAGTACCAGATTCTCTGACAGGAGTCACTAGGCGTCATCGTCCCAGCAAGAGCCTGCGGAGAGGACCAG